TTTTTGTGTGGAATCTTTAGGGTTTTCTACACGTAATAAGATCATGTCATTTGTGAATGGAGATCATATAACTTATTCCTTTCAATGTGGGTATCTTTTATATCTCTTTCTTATCTAATTGTTCTGACTAGGACTTCCAGTGGTGAGAGTGGGCATACTTACCTTGTTCTTCATCTTTGAAGAAAAGCTTTCATTCTTTCACAATGAGTGTGCTGCTAGCTTTACTTTCATATGTGTGTTTTTTTATATATGACCCGCACTGTGTAGAGGTAGTTTCCTTCTATTGCTAGTCTGTTGATTGTTTTATAATTAAAAAGTATGAATTTTGTCAGATATTTTTTCTGTATCAATTGAAATGATCGTGAGATATTTTTCCCCTTCATTCTGTTAATGTGGTATATTACATTAGTTGATTTTCATGTATTGAACTCTTCTTTTGTTTGACATTCTCCATTTATATGACATTCTTGAAATGAAAAAGTACAGAGATGAAACACAAATTAGTGGTTTCCAAGGAATAGGGATGTCTGGGGGGTGCAGGTTAGGACGTGACAGGTATAATTATAAAGGAATAGCATGAGGAAGATGTGTTGGTGGTAGAGTAGTTCTCTATCTCGATGGAGCTGAAGGTTCCATAGATATACCCATGAGAACAAATTACATAGAATTATATACATACATTGTTGTACCAATGTCAATTTCCTAATTCTATTATTGTACTATAGCTATGTAAGATATAACCATTGGGGGAACATGGACGAAGGATACACTGGATCTTTGTATGGTCTTTACAAAATTCTGTGAATCTATAATTATTTCCAAATAACAAGTGAGAAAAAAATAACTTTGGTCAAATATTATCTTTCTTAGGTGGTCTTAATTTACTGCATATATGCAGACGAGGGTCTTCAAGTCAACAATGCTTCCTAAGGCTCTGCATTTTTAACTGGTCTCTGCGTATTTATATTAATAGTAAAATAGGAAACACTTACGTAGCACATAACATACTCTAACTGCTTTATATATATGGGCTTATTAATCCTCTCCAAGCCCAATGTGATAAGTAGTATTGTCATCTCCATTTTACAAATGGGACTCTGAAGCACAGCCTGGTTATTTGGCTAGAAAGTGCCAGAGTCAGTGAACGGGGCCAAGCAAACTGCATTCAAAGTCCATGCGTATCTTAAAAATCCAGGTACTCTAAAGAAAATAAAAGGAAGTGTGTTCATTTGAAGAATAGAAACTAAAATACAAGGTGCTTTATCTGGCTTTTTCTTTTGGCTGTTCTTCATTTCACAAATCAAAACTTCTTTTGTTTTTACAGTAAGAATGCTGATGATCATCAGGTTGAAGATAGGCTGAAGGAATTGAGATGTCACTTTACCTGGGGGCTACTAATTGAAGACAGTGCAATGCCTGATTTAGAAAACAGGGTCTTGGAAGAGATTGAGTTCCTAGACACCAAGTACAATGTGGGAATACACAACCTACTGGCCTATGTGAAGCACCTGAAAGGCCAGAATGAGAAAGCCTTGGAGAGCTTGAAAGAAGCCGAAGACTTAATCCAGCGAGATCATGCCAACCAATCGGACATGAGAAGTCTGGTGACCTGGGGCAACTATGCCTGGGTGTGCTACCACCTGGGAAGACTGGCAGAAGCCCAGACTTACCTGGACAAGGTGGAGAACACTTGCGAGAAATTGTCAAGTCCTTTCCGCTATAGAATGGAGCGTCCTGAGATGGACTGTGAGGAAGGATGGGCCTTGCTGAAGTGTGGAGGACAGTATTACGAACGGGCCAAGGCCTGCTTTGAAAAAGCTCTGGAAGCAGACCCTGAAAACGCTGAATTCAGCACCGGGTATGCAATTGCCACCTATCGCCTGGATGGCTTTAGTGCAGCAATAAAAGGCACAGAGGGGTTTTCTTTGCACCCCCTAAGGCAGGCCATCAGGCTAAGTCCAGAAGATGCATATATTAAGGTTCTCCTTGCGCTGAAG